TGTTGAGAAGCTGTTTTTTAAGAGCACTTGTGTTATCTGTTTGCAAAGCATAAAGATACTTCTGGGGAAGAGCGTACTGATGTGTATTTTGGGATTAATATGACTTGATAATTAATACATTTTCTAGGAATCTGTCAGGGTATGGTTTCTTATTGTTTTAGGGTCATGTTTTATAGCACACATATGTAGAGACATATTTAAGCAGACTTGGACTTCAAAATATCTACTTCTGTAAAAGGATCTAGAATTTTAGATTTCAAAACATAGCCAGGTGTTAGTAGGGCACACATGTAATCCCAATGACTCGGGAAACTGAGGATTGCACGGTCAAGGCCAGCCTCAGAAACTAAATAAGACCCTGTCTCAACATAAAAATTAATAAAGGGGTGGGCACTAGGGAATATAGCTCAGTGGTAGTGTAACCCTGAGTTCAATCCCCAATGCTACCAAAAAATAAAAATAAAAAAAGCGAAACACTAATTTAAGATTCAAAGCATGTCCTTTCCCCTGAAATGCTTGTTCTTTAAATACAAACTCTTTAATTAGTACTATTAATATATGGTACCTATCTGGAAGCAACATGTACTTACTTTAAAGTGGATTCTATTTTTCTAATTTAGAGAATATGTAAGTCATATTTGAACTTGAGTGTGTCTGCCTGGATACTACCTTAAAATAATTATTGATGGTAAAATAATGACAAGGTTGACATAATAGAAAATAGATTATGGAATTTAATAACTGGGTTTCTGGTTGCAGCTTTTCTACTAATTAGTTGCATGACTTGGGTTCAGTTAACTTGTCTGGATTTGATTTCCAGCTATAAAATTGAGAAGCTTGAACCAAATGTATTCTAAAGTTTCTTCTTGCCTGAACAATTTATTACTTATTTGAAAGCTTAAAATACTGTAGTGTTTCTTGCATCGTCAAGAATCTCAAATAGAGTGAGCCAGCACCAAGCATGTTAGGGAGGAAAACAAGGGCTTATATATATGTAAGTGTAGAGCACTGTGTGCTGCATGTGGAGTTCTGAGAGCTTATAAAGGCCTTATAGGAAAACCATTAATGATAAGATAATAAAATGGGAAACTACAGTCTGTGGAAGATAAATAAAGATGTAAAGGAATTGATATTGTTTGTTTAAGAGAAATGGAAATAGCCTAAGAACAGTTGCAAAGAATTTTTCATTTTGAAGCAAATATTTATAGGCAACTATGGGCCAAAGACTGTGCTTATCAAGAATCTGAGAGAAGATAGATGAATGGGGGTCAGATTAAGCTATAGCCAAGACTCCTTTTTGGAAGGAATGATTCTCTATTGGGATTACATGAATTGAGTTAGGCAAGGTGCATGGGAAATCCCCTGGTGTTTTTGGAGATGCTCATTTGCTGTTACACATTGTTTAGGAAAATCTCACCTAAGGACCCTATTTCCTGAGCAGTCTTTGTTGAGCCCTCCCAAACTGAATCTGTAATTTCTTTTCCACTCTTGCTGGATTTGTCACCAAAAATGCGGGAGGTAGGACTTTGACCTCATGCTTCTTTTTCTCCCCCATTAAATATTAGAGTTTAGGGTGGTGGAGGTATCACTATGCCAGAATAGATAAGATAAAACAGGATTTCAGCCTCCTCTGAACTATGGTTTTTCAGTGTAGTGTCATCATTTTAAAATCCATCAGTTCTAAGAATAACCTTTTCCAAGCTGAAGCACCAATATATGTTACAAAGCTAACTGTGGTCTTTGGGTTCTGTGATGCTTCAGTGATCAATCTGTCTTCCGCTTACTATAGTCTTCAAGCCCTTAAATGGGTTCCTGGATTCTTTCCACAATCTTGCCCTTAATTAAGCATAGAAGTGAATAGTGCTTCAGTGAGGTTCACAGCATGGAAGTGATTTTGAAATGGCTCATTGTTTTGAAATTTTCTCCCTATTTCTTTCATTATTAGGCTAAATAGAAACTATCTTTGCTTTCAGTTGTTTTTCTCCTTTATATTTTTTAAACGTAAAGTAAAAAGACAGCATAGTAACAATTTTACATTTATTTATGTATTATTGCAAAAGCAAAAGTTCAGTATGTTTAATAAGACTAACTTTATATAATTGATAACATAAGTCAACTGTTGATTTATAGACCATATAGAACCAGAGTCTCAAGATGTTATCTTATCCATACGGTCAAGCTAATTACATGTCCTATATCTTAATTAAGGTATTACTTTGAGTTCTTCTTCAATTTAAAACATTAACTCCAGTGGGGCAGCATTTTATCCTATGGATGGAACAGTTAATGTGGCTTTCTGAAGTAACTAAATTCAGACACCATGGTAGAAGAACACTGTTTTATGAATAAAAATCAATCTGAAACCATCCTAATCAAAGTGTGATCCATGGACCTGTGGCATATGCATCACCAAAGTGCTTGATAGAAATGTAAACTCCTAATTCCACACTCTTCCTACTGAATCAGAATCTGCATTTAACCAGAAATCCCTGGTAATTCATGTGCATTCAAGGTTTGAGTTGGTGGCAGAATAGTTCATTACATTCATCTTTGATCTAGAGGAAAAATAAACCCACCAAATATAGATGACTTGGGTGTTCTGATAATGTAAATAAATTATAATGGTGTGAAAATTATATGAGATCTGTAAAAGTTAAAAAATGTTGGAAAGAAATAAAAATTACTCAGAAAATGCAAACAAATATATATGCATAAAGTATTGTAATATATAATATATAGGGAAATTGGACATGGAAAGAATCATGATACATGTGACATGGGGTGGTAGAGAGAAAGCCAGAAATTAATCAGTAATAGCACACAGAGGTCACTGTTGAATTGCTAATTTGATTTGTTAGAGATTTCCTTAACAGCAGAGCATAGTTGAGGCTTGTGTATCTCTCATGCAGTTAGTGATACTGTTTGGTATAAAGATAAATTGAAGAGTGTTCAGAGATGGGATGGAAGATTAATTATGACATAGGAAGAACTGATTTATGAGGAGAGAGAAAAATAATTAAATGGGCAGCACTATGCTATAAAAAGAAGCTATGGCGACATGGATATTTATCTAATGTTTCTCCAGAGCTGTTTCCTGTGATATCTATATGAAAGATGCAAAACAATAAGGATGTAAGGATGCTGAGAAATTGTTTGTAAAGCAAAGCAATATCAACTGGAATTACTCAATTAAGTTAGGAGCAATATCAAAGATTAGTTTCAGAAAATTTTACCTGGTACACAAGAAATGACCTTGTGCAAGATGACTTTATTCCTGAGAACTTTTGGAAACTCTATGGGCAAAGAATGAAAAATCATTTAGTATGTTGTTGAGTTATCTCTCTAGGGAGATAATTGGAACCCCATCACTTGAAACTTCTAAAATTAGGGTGGATGAAAACTAGGATGCCATACATGGAATGCCCTCTCCACTTCTGGCAGAGACCTGGTGATTGATGAGTGGCATTTTGTTTCGCAACATCTTTGATTATGTTACCATATATAGTCCATTTTTTTCATCAGGTTGGTATCGAATTAAAATTAAAATACTACTTTCTATGAGAACATCTAGAGAGTGTCAGTTATCTGCCCTCCCTGGTGCCTGCCTCTTGGTACCCAGTGACATTCTTTATCATTTCTCTTCACTCTGTAATTATTAAGGATGCACTTCCCTACACAGCAGAAGCAAATTCATTTCCTCATTCACTTCATTCAGAAGCTAAAAAGACAAGTCCAAAAGGCACCTGGACATTTGGAGCCTTTTGTCAAATGGATGCAGAAACTCTGGAAGTCTGAAATTATCCAGTGCTTCAGAGAACCTAGTGATTCTTTTTACTGGGATGAAAATCTGACACAAGAGTACCATACTTCCTTCTCTCTTCTTCTGTTCGCTATGCGTCATCTGAACAGGGAAGCCCAGAACCCTAATTCCATAGCTCAGAAAAGAAGTAAAACACAAAAAAATTATTTAATGTTCCAATTCATGGCTTTTTTCCTGCTAACTCCTTCAGATCCAACACCATAATTGGTGTTGTCTAGGAAATCTAGTTTAGCATAGGTTCTGCTAAGAATAATTCATATCAAATATATTGACTAGAGATATTATATATACTGTTTTATGTTGATGGGAACATTTGCCAAACTTAAATATCAAGTCACATTAATTAAATTATTTCAGGTGTTCATAAGTGAATTGTTTTCTTTGATGGTATTTTTTAAATTAATGTTAATTTTGTTATTTATAATTTAATGTACCTGCTTCCATTTTAAGAAATTATCTTTTCCTATAACCAAAATTTCTTAATCCCTTCTTTCTTGTAAGAGATCTGGAAGGGTGAGTTAAAAAGTTAGTAAGGATTGTGTTCTACTATTTTGGTCACATACAAAGATAAACTCTTCTACCCCTGCTTGTGAAAATGACCCTAAAAAATTGTCAGCATCTTACATGTGCAAATAACAACTGCCTTCAAGGTGAAAACTAATTAACAGAAAATAAGTAAATAAAATTGTCAAGTTGCAACCTTACTTTTTTCCTTCTTGCTTCCTGACTGTTATGCCATCCAAAAGGGTAGGGAAAGTCTTTTTTCTTTCTAAATAATTCTACTAACGTCATACTGATTTTCTCTCACGTACATCCCATGGTTCCAGATGATCTCATGTTTTCTTATTTTTCTCATGTTAGTACAGCATCTTGCCTCATGGGGTTAACATGTTACTTGAACTGAGATGGCAATGATTACCACAGTTCTTCTGTGTCTCTGCTGATATGGGCGGGGGGAAAATTTCCTTGCCTGGGTATCAAAATATTCCAGCATTACAATACATACCACTATTAGGTATAATTGTAATGCACCAATAAAAAATATTCCAGTATTGTACTGTGTAGGAAAAATTGTATTAAGTGTCTGAAAGACTACATGGAGGCCTGTGTATATGTCATTGATGTTGCTTTTTCTTTCTTACCCTTGATTCTCTTCTTATCTCACTTCCCTCTGTTTCAGCTAGCTGTGAGGTGGTTGGAACACAACTGCCATTACCAGTACATGGATGAACTCCTGCAGTACATCCGCTTTGGCCTAATGGATGTGGATACTCTCCATACAGTTGCCCTGTCCCATCCCCTCGTCCAGGCAAGTGAGACGGCAACAGCTCTTGTCAACGAGGCCCTGGAATACCACCAGAGCATCTATGCACAGCCTGTCTGGCAGACCTGCAGGACCAAACCTCGCTTCCAATCAGATACTCTATATATCATTGGTGGGAAAAAGCGTGAGGTGTGTAAAGTCAAGGAACTTCGGTACTTTAATCCTGTTGATCAGGAGAATGCTCTCATAGCCGCCATTGCCAACTGGAGTGAACTGGCTCCCATGCCTGTGGGAAGGAGTCACCACTGTGTGGCAGTCATGGGGGACTTTCTTTTTGTAGCAGGAGGGGAAGTGGAGCATGCCAGTGGCCGGACGTGTGCTGTGAGGACTGCCTGTCGCTATGATCCTCGCAGTAATTCCTGGGCAGAGATAGCACCCATGAAAAACTGCCGGGAGCATTTTGTGTTGGGTGCCATGGATGAATACCTCTATGCAGTTGGGGGCAGAAATGAACTGCGTCAGGTTCTGCCTACAGTTGAGCGATATTGCCCCAAGAAGAACAAATGGACTTTTGTGCAGTCCTTTGATCGATCTCTATCATGTCATGCTGGATATGTGGCTGATGGTCTTCTTTGGATATCAGGTAGAACATGCCTCATATGTTGGATTTATCTAAAAACACTTTCACTATGGCATAAATGTAAAAGTCAAGCTTTGGTAGTATGTCCTTGTGTGATTGAGTTAAGGATGCTATTTTAGCTAATTAACAATCATTTATTGAGCACCTACTCCATAGAGAACAATGTAATTAGAAGTAATTGACCTTTCTATGAATTTATGAGTGATTAGTGGTGTAAAAATTTAAGTTGAAAATTAATGGCCCATCACATCTGTTTTTCTATCAAACCTTCTATTGTTTAAATCATCAGCCCTCAATTCTTGGATTATGGTGCACAATTTGTGTTTTATCTAAGTCCTTTGCTTTTTCTTTCTCTTTTGGCTGCCTGACAAAAAGTCATTTCTTCACAGTCAAGTTAGAAAAGGTAAAAGCCTAGTAAATCCATTTTTCTGGGTATAGCAATGGATATATATTTAGGTATTAACTATGCTGTGTATTGAAGGAAGGCATTTAAGTTAATGAAACAAAGCTTTTGTATTATCTGTGAATAGTGTTATTCTTTACCATCTGAATCTTTCATTGCTGTTTACCTTCCCATTTTTACTAATTATTTGGGAGTACAGTTTGAGCTCTATTTTAATTTGCTTTTTATTTTTTCTTAGACAACTTTTGTTTATGGAAAAAGTAAAAGGAGTAATATATTGAACACGAGCCCATAATCCAGCTTCAATGGTTTATTTGATCATTACTAATCTTGTTTCATCTACACCTACAAACACCTTCACACCCCTACTGGCTGCCTTTTGGCATGTACAAGGAGTCTGTGGGGCATATAGTATCAGTCTCACAGTGTCAACCTGTGTTTTCATTCCCACTGTGGAGAAAGACCTGAAGTGTCCGCTTTTGAAAGAATTGCCTACAGGGAAGGAAGTTGCATCTTCTTTCAGTTGAGGGATACACAATGTAACCCAAATGCAACTTGAATTTCTGTGTCATCAAGGGGAATAGAAAGATTGATGACGTAAATAGTAAGGGAAACTTTGATGTTTGTACTTGGAGAAAATGATCCCGTTATGAAGTGAAGTTTTCTCAGCTTTCTTCAGTGATCATCTCCAATTTTTTAACAGCTGTTTTGACAAAATTCTTACTCACATTAAATTAAATTTGTTTGTATTTTACTCATTTTGTCCTTTTGTTTTCAATAACCAAGGACACATTCACAGTCTCAGCTTCTCTGGTGAAAATTCACTGATTTTGACGTGACCTAACCAACATTAGGGCTTAAGTGCTCAATAAATTAATAAATGAAGTTATGACTAGTAGTATGGAAGAGAGTAAGTTAACAGAACCTAATAATTACTCTTCCTATGTACCAAACCAGCAGTAGAAATGAGTACGTTAGTGTATAGAGATATATTTAAATAAAAACCTTGTTTATCTAGTAACTTCTTTCTTTTTCTTGAAATATATATTTCAACAGTTAAGAAAATAGCTGCCAGGACTATATCCTGTTGGTTTTGCTAAAGAAACTTCAACTCACTGCAAATAAGTATTTTCTAATAGAAAGAACAGATCTGTACTTCCTTGTACAACAGAACAATGATGGATTTATGAAATCAATGCAGTTTATGTTTTCTCCCAATTTATATTCATTCCATTGACTCATTTGGTTTCATGTATTGTTAATTTACTATATTCCTAAATTTTTCATTGCACCTTCTAAACTTTGTATAAATTTCTCATATTTAAATAAACATTCCTTATGTTTTGGACTATAAAGCTAGCTTTTTAGAAATGCTGGAGTTTCCTTTACATAGTTTTAAAGATAGGACTACTTAGTACCTTTTTCAGTGAGGCTTAAGAAAGCACAGGAGCTCATCTTAGACTAGCTAGATCAATCATCCTGGTATCAAGTTAACTTCCCTTTCAATATGAGCCTGTATGTTTCCTTTTCCATTTTATTAAATCTGTCAATTTATTACATATCTTTCTGCTCTCTCACTTTGTGTTTCTCCTACTGGTAAAGAAAACACATTTTTCTTTGTTCTTCTTTTGCACTAATGTATGCTGCCTGTGTTAACCGTACTTAATGAAAACAATCACAATTTTCTCAGGTTTGTTTCTCCCTACTGTGTACTTGAGATGAAAAACTCACTTTCCTGTGTACAGTACAATACCTTTAATTGGAAAGAAGAGGAAATCACCTGACATTTCTAATACCTTCAGTCATCTGCCTTTTTCCTCAGGCCCAGCTTATAATAAATCAATTGTGAATCTAACCATGAATAGGGAGGGGTGACTAGATTTGCTAATGGGCCCCTTAAAAAAAAAAAGACAGGTATACTTCACCATCCCTATCACTGATTTAGAAATGTTAACCTAATTTTTTGGAGCAGATGAAAATGTTTCAGGCTATTTCTTATCTTGGACCAAATAATCAAGTATTTCCAATTTAATTGATGGGGGATTGAGTCATTGGCATCCTTCTGGAATTTTGCAAGCTTTGCCTGAGGTGTAGTATGGATTATAGAATGTGGATTTTAGAGGCTTAGTTCTGTTCCATAGAACACAAAATGAATGTTTCTTTAGAGACTCAATATTTTCAGCGTGCTGCCTCCCTCCTTCCCTCCCCCACTTCTCTTTTTGTCCATCTTGGGTTCAAGACATCTTGAACACTGTCCATAATTTTTAATGTGTGACAAGCAGAAGGGAATTCAGGAACTCAGGCTGTATGGCTATACCCATTAGCATTTAATTTAAGATGTTAGAGATAGTCAAATTTTACAAGCTCCTATAGCATTTGACATTGTGACCCAGTTCACAAATGCTCCATACCATTTCAATTTGAATTCACAGTACTGAAATAAAATAAGCATTAAATATCCTGCAGCTGTGTTTTAAAATACATGCTCTCTGTTGTAAGGTATAGTCTGTGAATTACTAAAAATATCTTTTTTTTTCTTTTAGTGTGTGCGGGAAAATTAATCCTGAGCTCATCTTGCAGAACGACTTATCTTTTTATTTTTGTCTAATGGCAGCAAGATAATGAGAAGCTAGCTACAAAATTAGAGCTTTAAAACTATAAAAATAAGACAAATGTTATTGCATTTGCTCAAAAGCAATGTATTTAATGCTTTATTGATTCTCTTAGTGAATGATACATCCTTATAAAGTATAGTGCTGGGTCGTAGATAAATACAATTAATTCAGCAAACACAATTCTTGCCCTCTAGGAGCTGACAATCAAAGACATTTCAAAGATATTTCATTAATGAAAGAACATATGTTAAAGCTTCTTTAACTCTCTAGAAGCTATGTTTATTTTTGTCTTGATTAAATTTATATGAAGCTTTATTGCCCCATTTTAAAATAACTAATTTATTTAAAACTACTAAAGGGAGTTTGGTTTTTCTAGTATCTATTACAATTAGAACAATGTAAAATTTTATTAACATTTTTAAAACACCATAGTTTTCACTTTCCTTTCTCAGTGCAGATAGTATTTTGCTTACATTTTAAAAATTATGTACAAAATATTGGTAATTAACAGCAGGCATGGTAGAAGTTTTGTTGTGGTGTCCTGAGACAGTAGAGTATGGTCATACATACATGTGAAATTTCCCTACTTCTTATCAATCACGAGATGCTGAGCAGAGTTCCTAAGCTCCCTAGGTCCTATTCTAGACTAGCACTAGAGGAACAAAGTAGAGCCTAGTATATAATTATAGTGCATGATACTATTATGGTAGAAATCTTTGCAAGGTACAGAGTCTTTGCAATGCAGGGAGTAAATATTGCAGGGGGGGGGCAAATTCCAACCGAACTTGGCCTCAGATTACTGAATACTTTATATACATTCATTAACCCCTCTCCTTCTGGCAAATAGAATGTTGGACAAACCTAGCAATGCCTATATAATTGTTGCTCAGTGTCCATGGGGAGTTGGTTCCAGGACACACACACACACACACACACACACAAACACACACACCACAGATAGGAAAATCCTCAGAGGGGTTCACTTACATAAAATGGCATAGCATTTGCATATACCCAAGTATGTCATTCTGTATAATACAATACAAAGTTTTATGTAAATAGTTGTTTTAATGTGTGATTAGGGAATAATGATAGAGGGAAAATGTCTGTAGATGTTCATTATAGATATATTTCCCAAAAAATATTTTGCATCTGTGGTTGGTTAAATCCATAAATGTGGAACCCATGGACACAAAAGGCTGACTATAACAAGGATGCTGATCCTTTGGGAGGAGAATAGTTAAGAGGAGGGTAGGGTGTTGACTCACCTCACCAAATATGTGACACACTTGCCCTCTCCATGCCCTACTATCCTTCTCCCACACAGTCTGCTCCACTGTCCCTAACTTCCTCACTGTCTCTGATTTTCCTCTAGACCCCTCCCTTGGACTCAGAGAGGACATTGTCTTCTGTTTTTCAGAGCAAATGTGAGATAATAGACGGAGGTAGTAGAAAGTATGAGAAGACCCATGGGCCAGAGATGGTCTGGAAATGAGTCAAGGGCAGAAGGTTGGGAAACATTGGTAAGGAGGATGCTGAGTGGGGGACTCAGGAAGGAGCCCTAGTATGCAGGATGGACAAGTGGGAGGAGGGGAGGAGTGTTAACAGGAACCACACAGAAGGTCCAGTGAGGAAGAGCTGCCCAAGACCAGAGGGACTTCAAAGTCCAAAATATTTCCACTACATTTTTCAATCAGGAGAAATTCAGTGAAAGCAATCTGGGGAGTTCAACAAGTGGACACTAGAATTTAGTAGTTTAATGTGACTGGAAAGTCAGGAAGTAGAAACCATAGGTCCAAGTTACATTGACAAGAAATCTGGAAAATTCTCTTTTACAATACCCATGGACAGTGTATCATCTAAACTTTCACTGAATCTGATTTTATCAGACAAGTTTTCAATTATTGCCTGGCTTCCCCTACATGAAGAGAATTTCCTGTTTCTAGGTACACACATATTTCAGTCCACATGATAGCAACATTGTT